ACTACCATAAATATGCCAAACACGTAAGGACAAAAATAAAATGGCCGTTTGCAGGCTTAAAGCTGGAGTTACACGAGCAACAAAACCTGCTGCAAAAATATTGGGATGTATAAAAAGCTCGCATTTTCTGCAAATAGCAAGAACTCAATTATGATTATTTTTAAGAATTTAACCCACATGTACGAATGTCTTTTATATATTTAAAGAATTAAATAAATAAAACGACAATTATTGAAGTCTGTTTTCAGATTATATGAAGAATTACCAAGGAATTTGTTTGTCTTCCAAGACTTTGGCTTTGGCAGATATAGCACACTTTGTCCTTGATAATTCTTCATATCATGCGATAACCGAATTTAATAATCGTTAATTATTATACAATCAAACACAAACTCAATTCTGATTGCTAAAGAGTAGACATATTTTTTTTAATTGACATAATTATCAAGTGTATGATTTCCCTGGAAAATTTGTGAGATGTTTCTGCATTTCGCATTGTATAACAAACAGCAAATCAACAATAACCGATTTATAAAATACAAATATAAAAGATTAGTTACTAGTTTGGGAACACCCAATCGTTAAGTTGCACAGATAGAGTTATAATGTACAATAATCACATGAAAACACAAGTTATTTTCTTGACGATACTTCATGCAATCCCAAAACCCCGACTGTATTGGTATGGCAAATATCATTGCATCTTTAAACTGTTCGTAGTCTTTGTGAACAACTGAAAGATAAAGAATACCTGCGCATGTGTTGGCCTTCGGAAATTTAGAAAGCTTTCCGTCATCTTCCGGGTCATGAAGAAATGCTAGTTCGCAATTGTTGTAATTGCTTGCAACCAGTTGTGAAGAAAAGAATGTCGGAGAAGCTAAGCGTGCAGGAATCTTCTTCGGTATCTTGCAAGAAGTCGCACCAATAGGAAAGGACTAGGTTTTCAACCAATCTTCTGTTGGAACCCTCGCATTGACGCACCACGTCTGGAAACAACGCTTCAAAACTACTTGCAGTCAGGATCTCTCGTGTGTAGCAGAAGGCCTCACGAAAGACACCGGGGTGATTCCTCATAGCTTCTAATACTCCTAACGCTTGTAGACCCTCTCTGAAACTGTTGTAAAGCTGCCTGAACTCTGCCCAAAACATACCAATCGACTGTTTTCTGAACCATATTCTGAATGTCATCAGCTGTTTTAACCACTTGGAACGTACCAGCCATATCAAGAAGAACATCGAGCTTTTCATTATTGATTATCTGTGTGGCCTCTTTAGCATCAGAAGCTTTTAGCAATCGACCAAATGATGATCTCAGTTCATAATCAGGAACATCATTCACATCAGCATGAAAGTTTTGGGTTCCAGTTTCTTTCACAATGACATAATAACATGACTCTGCAAAGCATTTGGGACCTGGGCCACCATGAACCAACGACATAGCAAATATTTGTCCTGCTAGGTAATACTCTCTTTCTTCCAAACAATTGGCATTCAAGGATAAGAACTTTGAGGTTTCCACACCAAAAAATAGCTGCGAATTTACCAACCATTCTGTAACTAATGTGAAGAATTCCCTTGCAGGGCCACCGAGGTCAACTGCGCCCTCTGATGCACCAATATTATCTGTAAATTTTACAGATATTTTAATGCGCGGTTGAAATGATTTTCTGTTGAGTGCTTTTTTTGTTCCCTCCCAAATGTGATTTCTGCTAATGTTGAATTTGGAGATTTCGTCATATGTCAGTGTTTCGGAAAGATTTCGCAGAATTTCTTTCAGTGGACCGTTTTGCAATGTGTTCTCATTCACATCACGAGCACCCAACATATGGTCATCTTCAAAGACCAAATCATCTTTGTCCAACACATCCGAATTGGCTTGATTAAAGAGAAGAGCAGCATACATTTAGTCAAAACCAGGTATGCGGTTGGATGAATGTGTACTTGAATGAGATCTTTAAAATATAAGAAAAAAGTTTAAGGTAGCCACATAAAATCATTTACATAAACATAAACTAAACAGTGTACGACAAGGCTTCCTAGGGCTAGGCACTGGGTTCCACAAACAGTTAGCAGTGCAAAAACTAAATTCCCATTGTAATGTAAATGGCGTCAAGGTTTGCAGATTAGTTGCAATTAAGCAATTTGCAAAATATATAAATTTACTAGCACTTTACTGTACCTTAACTGAAATTCATCTGAAGGGTTCGATGTTGTTCCCTTTGCAAATAAAGTAAAATAGATATTAAAATAGATAAACATCTTGATATATCTGCTGCATAAAACATAAAGTACGTAAGATGTCAAATTGTTATGCAGCTAAACCTTCCGAATACTCTATTGAGCATTAGCGAAGTCTAAATGGTATGTGGTTGGGCTGAACCTCTTCACTGATCTCAAAATTATGGCTGCTTGCCAGGAGTAGGTAAGCAAAATTTCAATTTTCAAAAACATATTTTTGGAAAATCATTTCATATACAACGATCTTTGAAGCAAATTTTGTTTGAACAAATTTATTTTATTAACATAAAATAAATTTATTTTTGCTGCCGAGCGTCAGTGAGGCAGCACACTATTCTTGACGTACTAGGGTTTCCCCAGAGTCCTTTCGACCCAGTCTTTCGCACGACCTATGTATTGTCGAGATCTCGACTTGTGTCTGTCTGTCTATTTTTCCAGGGGAAATAATTAAGCTTCAGGGACATTTTTTAAATGAGGGGGGCGGGCAAATATAATTATATTTTGTTTTGCGCACAGTCACATGCTTTCAATTCTCAAGATTTTAATACAAGCTTTTTAATATGGATGCAAATTAAACGATCTACAATATTTAGAATAATTCAGGTAAGGATGGTTTTATTTCTTTCTGTTGACATACATGAAAGCGTTGAACTTTTTAGTTTCGATAAATATAGGAGTGTTTCATGAGTTTATTAACAGCCCACTAGGCACTAGCATATAGCCACTAATCGATTGATAAAACAACATTTATAAGGTCATTCAATGTCCTAATACGAGGAGTCAAAGTGTACTAAATGCCTTTAGCTTTGTATGTTTGTGTAGTGGTTTGTCAAGAATCTAGAGTTTAGCAGTGTGCTTATAAATCCAGCACTTTTTAGAGCTACAAGTGTAGATTATTCTCAAGACATATATTAATATGTTAATTGTCTGTTTAAGTTTTATTTTTATATATCCTCAAGATATGTTCATATATTAAGCGTCTGTAGTGCATGACCACATTTCAGGGTATATTTTCTCAATCTGCTTACAATTTCTTTCCTGTTTATAATAGTGTTATATAGTTTTACAATTCTGACTGAGAAAACAGAATAATATGGATGCATTGTAATGTAATGGATGTCAAAAAGTTGATCTTAATTTTACTTGGATGGATCTGTAAACACTGGCAACAAAGTAATTGCAGTGCAAAGATAGTCTAGATAGATCCAGCCACTCAGTTGTGCATAATTGGTTGTAATGAATTTCAGTGAATTAATAAATGACTTGAAATTGAAGAAAATTCGCAGTCGAATAGGGTTAGGAGTAGGGTTTATAGGGTACTAAGTCATTGAACCGACAAAAAAGTTAATTAAGCAGTGACTCGGACAATTCACTCAGACTCGGATTTGACTCGGTAAGCCGCCAAACTCCGAAATTGAATAAAATTCACAGTCGAATAGGGTAGGGTATGTACATTAGGGGTGGGCAGAGGTGTAACTTAACACTTGCCTGCTTGCCCGGGGCAAGTGAATATCATGATGGGCAAGTAAACATTTTATCTTGCTTGCTCGATTGGGCAAGTTACCTGGCAAAAAAAAGCTGGGCATCTTTAAGTTTATGTTTTCATTGTCGGATAAATTTTTTACAGTACATGTACTTGATTCAATTTTTGTGGGTCAACCTGGATCTGAGGCATTATAACATAGCTATATAGAGCAGTGGGAGAATGGGTCAACATGTTGTCGCCTTAATATATACCCCCTACCTAGGTATCCCAGTGGCCATTGTCTGATGGCAAGTGAATTTTATTCAGGCCAACTAATTTTCATGTCCAACTTGCCCTGAGGGCAAGTGGTCAAAAAAGTAAAGTTACACCACTGGTGGGGTTAGGATTAGGGCACTAAGTCATTGAACTACAAAGACCACTAAACAGTGACTTGGATTTGACTTGGTTAACTGACAAACTCCTTTCTGGGCTTGTAAATTTCAAAATTTTCATGCAGGCATGCATGAAAAATCCCAAATCCCCAGGATGCAGAGATTTCATCTCAGCACCAGACCTCCCAATCGTAAAATTGTTGTCATGCTATGCTAATAAACCTGCATCATTTGAATAATGCAAATAATTAAAAATTTGTATAGCATGACCTATTCTATGGCTAGCTTCACCACAGACAGTATTATAATTGTACATACAAAAGCAAGAAATTACAATATTGAAGGTATTCATATAAAACCGCCCATGCGAAGAAAGTAGCAAGTAGAATATTTAGCTGCCCTTTGACTTTGTGCAAGGTGTTTGATATTCAAATTGCACTTTTCCTACACTGCATGAAAAAGCGAATATTCTAATGTGAATACTTGTGAATATTAGTTAGAATACGGCTAGTATTCTGGCGTATTCACACATATTCTAAGCGAATATCCCCTGAATATTAGTAGTATTCAGATGTGATTACCTCGGAAAACGCACCTGATATTCGGACATAGAATACCTTCTTTACATGCTTCTTTTGTAAAATCTTTACATGCTTCGTTTGAACCATATGAACTGATGATCAATTCATTGTTTTTCATTTGTTACTGAGATTGTATTGAAATTGTGGAATAACTATAGAATGAATAATTATAAAATACCCCGCCAACTGTGCCTAACCTAAATGTAATACTAACCCTAACAATACCATACTTAACGTCGCGGGGTATTTTATAGTTGTACAGAAGTTGTAAAGATCGTATTTAAAAGAATTAGTAATCATGTGCATCTCGAAATTATGCTATGAACTTCTAGTTTTATGGATAACAACAACGGCGTAAAAGTTGAAGATATGTTCGCCGAGTGTGATAGTCCTTCATTGATAGAAATAATCTATTCTAGTTATGACCTTAAGGTACGATTATTTTATTATTTAATTGGTGGGAAAACGGGCCATTTATACTCGGAAATCATACAAGTATTTGACTTTTTATCAAACAAGACGCTCTATGGAGCGTTAACTCGCTGGGGCTATACAAAACGCACATTACTGTATATGATACATACATCACCGAGCAGAAAAGTCGAATACGAGCGCGAAAAGCTTAACACACTAAAATGAGGTACCCACCGTACCCTACAAATAAAACATCCAGCGTTTATGCCCACAGTAAAGTTATATTTTATAGTACGCTACATTCTTCTGTCGGCCGCCAGTTTAAAACGTTCAAAATTAAAATATTTTGGGGCTTTTGGGCTCAAAATATTATCAAAATGAAGAGAGAAGTGAGACGAATCCACTGGTATACGGCCGAAAAAGAGAAAACCAACAATACCAAAGTTATCAAGGATCAAACGTACTGCATTTTTTATAATTTGAGCAATTTGTCAACAAATAATACAATTTTGCTTGGCTTTCAAAGACAAAGTCAAAGGCCATAAGTCGCTAGAATACTGTTGTCAGTTGTTTAGTAATACATTTGACATCCGTAGGTACAATTTCTCATTCGTAAGTACAATTTCTAACCCTGAATCAAACGGTGGTATTTTTATCCTTATTGCGGCAATTGCGCCATTATGCATTACAAATACAAGGTCGGACAAAGCCGTCAAACGGCGAGTGATTTGTCAACAATACAATTTTGCTTATTAAAACTGCACTTTAAAACCTTCAAAATAAAATAGTTTAGGCTCAAAATACAATCAAAATGAAGAGAAAAATGAGACGAATCCACTGGTATATGGCTGAAAATGAGAAAACCAATGATACCAAAGTTATCAAGAATCGAACGTACTGCATTTTTAATTAGTCCAATAATTTTGAGCGATTTGTCGACAATGCAATCTCGCTTGACTTTCAAAGGCCATACATCGCTAGAATACTGTTGTTTAGTCAGTCAGTATAATCTGCAGACCGGACTGGGTACAAAATGAAGACTGGGGGTATAAAATGCAGACTGAGGATAAAATGCAGACTGGGGGGTGAATTAGGGATATTTTACAAATTCCCGCCAAGCCATAGTCACGTGATTGTTCTTGTTGATATATTAATGTTGAAGCATCAAAATGGACAAAGAAGACAGCGATGTAGAGGTATTGATATTATATGAATATTTATATTATTCTCATTCAACTGTAAAACTTGATAACTTTAACACATTTCTTTACGTTTAATATTAGAACGTTTGGTTATGTTGTATTAGATCGGAATAATGAAATCTGGACGTTTTGAGTGTGAAATTGTAATGGTATATATCGTGTCGACTGTCAAGCACATGGGTTTTTTTGTATTAGCAATTTTTCATATTTTCAAGCGTTTTGCTCCTGTAATTCAAGTTCATATACATATATAGACCAATAGCAAGCTTGCGTTTGCCGAGTTTTGAAACATACATGAGTAGAGTGCTTGTCGACAGTCGACATGATATATACCATTAAAATTTCACACTCAAAACGTACAGATTTCATTGTTCCGATCTAATGCAACGTAACCAAACGTTCAAATATTAAATGCAAAGAAATGTGTTAAAGTTATCAAGTTTTACAGTTGAATGAGAATAATATAAATATTCATACAATATCAATACCTCTACATCGCTGTCTTCTTTGTCCATTTTGATGAAAGTGACTAGCTTCAACATTTTAAAATATTATCAACAAGAACGATCACGTGACTATGGCTTGGCGGGAATTTGTAAAATATCCCTAAT